AGAGAGAGAGAGAGAGAGAGAGAGAGAGAGAGAGAGAGAGGGAGAGAGAAAGAGAGAGAGGGGTACTCTCTTCACATAGACTATATAGTAATCGTCGTCGTCATCGTCGTCGTCGTCGGTGTTGTATCGTCTGCTGCCGGCGGCACGGTGTGATTAACCCAGTTTAGAACGACGTACTCGTCTCTCTGATTCATATCTTATCATTCACAAAGCCAGCATGAAACATAATGCTCCCGAACGTTCGCTCGCTCGCTGTCTGACCTACGAGTATTTATATTTAAAACCGTAGAAATATTATACTAGTTTGACTAGTGTGTCTATATATTTCTATGTGACTAACATGTGAGAGGCGGCGGCGGCAGTAGCGGAGGCATTATTGTTCATGTTCACTCGTGTAAACTAGGCCACCTCCTATCATCTACTATCATCATCATATCATAATGTTTATTTCATGCCTCACAGCCGTCCTATCGTATCGTGTTAACTCGGGCGGATATTTATAGCGGTTAGTTTATGCGCGTGTGTATCGCAGTACATCGCTGCTATCGTGGGATGCTGCCTCACAGCGCTACAGCAGCAGCAGCACAGATACTGCACATGTCTGTCTGACACACTACACTAGTTTTCTCCTCTAAGCTATCTTAACTATTATTTTCCCGCATCTATCTAACTATATATCTAATCTAATTCCGTGTTTATTTCTCAAAGCGGTGACAAATGACAAAGTGACGTCACAGCCGCCGTCGGACAAACCTCACACCAACGCGGCTGCCAGGTCCGTCGCCGCGGCAACCGGCAGCGACGATCGCTTCGTCAGACAGAGCCACCTGGTGGTGGATCAGGAGCCGGCAATCTCGCCCGGGATGTATGCTTCCAAGGTTCCCTGGATCATCAAGAAACCGCGAGCGAACGCCGCGGACGTACGCACGGACGTCGTCAACCAGACGAAGGTGACATATCGCGTCGTCAACCCCGCCGTCGCCGCGGCAACGACAACGACGACGACGCGACCGCACCTCGCTCCCTTCACCGTGAAACCCAACCCGTCTCGCGCCGCGGCGCCGATTCAAAATGACGTCTGGCGAGACGCGAGGGAGGCCGACGACGACGACGACAAGAGAACATCCAGGACGAACGGAGAATCCATCGAGATCGTCGCGTTGGAAAAACCCGAAATGGCTCGACGCCGGGACGAGGTAAAACCCGAGACCACCCGACGCCGGCACGAAGTAAAACCCGAGACCGCCCGACGCCGGGACGAGGTAAAACCCGAGATGGCGCGGAGCCGTGACGCGGCGGGGCAGAACGGACGCCAGGGGGCGCCGTCAGCTGCGGACGAGGAACAGGAGCGCTTCATCCCGGGAAGCGTGTCGCGATTCTCCGCTCTCTTCGAAAACCTCAACGTAGATGACGGCAGAGCGGCGTCGCGTCGCCACGGCAACGGCCCGGCGAGGGCGGCAGACGACGGCGACGGTTGCCACGCTACGATGCGCGCCGCCGT